AATTGCCTTTTGCATCACTTGTCCTTTCCATGGCATTTATTTCTATCTTTTTGCTCTGTTCATTTGTATTACTATTACTATTACAAAAAAATATTATTATTATAATTTTTAAAAAATTCTATTTGCTACACTGTTCTTATGTTGACTCACATGTTTCACTTTTTTCTCTGGCCCTGCTGCTGGGAGGTGTCTGCAGTGCAGGTGCCTTCAACAGAGCACTCCCTGGTCTCCTCTCCCACCCAGCAGAGCTTCTGCCCACCAGCCTGTAGGGTCTTTTACCTTGGCTTCTCAGTCCTAATAAGGAGAAAATCCAGGTGCCGTTTGTCCCTGTCCTCCCTCAGCAGGAGCCTTGGGGCATTTCTCTGTCTTGCCCTCCTGTCCCTGCTGCCTTCTTCTGCCCCTCACCCTCTCTGACAGCAAGGGCAGGTTCAGGCACAGCTCACACCCCATCTGCAGCTCTTGCCTGTGCAGTTTTGTCCACGGGCACAAAGTCCATCAGCCTGTCTGAGCCTGGGGGGCTCTGACCAGTGCTGGGAAGTGACCTGTCTGCTCCTTTCACTCCAGTTTGGGCTGATCCAGGAGTTTCACCAGGGCTTCTTCTGCAGAGAGATGCTGGGCAGCTCATCTTCATTACAGGGGGAGAATAAAAGAGGGAAATGGTGAATTTCAGAAGCTGTGAGGACCTTTCCCAGGTGCCTGCTGCTGTAGAGCTAAGATCGCTCCTTGGGAGCTTGTGGGCAGATCCATTCTCCCAATGGCACATTTGGCCAGCACAGACCTGACCACAAGCCAAGGAGATGTGTGAAGGTCCTGAAAGGAAGGGGAGAGACAATATGTGTTGGGGGGGCATGGAATCAAAGAGATTTTTTTTTTCAGAGTAGCCCTAACTTGTGAGTGTGCTGCCCAGAGAGACCCAATGTCCAACAGCAGCTCCATCACTGAGTTCCTCCTCCTGGCCTTTGCAGACAGACGGGAGCTGCAGCTCTTGCACTTCTGGCTCTTCCTGGGCATCTACCTGGCTGCCCTCCTGGGCAACGGCCTCATCATCACCACCATAGCCTGGGACCACCACCTCCACACCCCCATGTACTTCTTCCTCTTCAACCTCGCCCTCCTCGACCTGGCCTCCATCTCCACCACTGTCCCCAAAGCCATGGCCAATTCCCTGTGGGGCACCAGGGACATCTCTTACTCAGGATGTGCTACCCAAGTTTTTCTATTTCTTCTTTTCCTTTCAGTAGAGTTTTCTCTCCTCACCATCATGTCCTACGACCGCTATGTTGCCATCTGCAAGCCCCTGCACTACGGGACCCTCCTGGGCAGCAGAGCTTGTGTCCACATGGCAGCAGCTGCCTGGGCCACTGGGTTCCTCTATGCTCTGCTGCACACGGCCAATACATTTTCCCTGCCCCTCTGCCAGGGCAATGCCCTGGACCAGTTCTTCTGTGAAATCCCCCAGATTCTCAAGCTCTCCTGCTCACAATCCTCCCGCAGGGAAATTTGCCTTATCATGGTCAGTTCCAGTTTAGTATTTGGCTGTTTTGTTTTCATTGTGGTGTCGTATGTGGAGATCTTCAGGGCTGTGCTGAGGATGCCCTCAGAGCAGGGACGGCACAAAGCCTTTTCCACCTGCCTCCCTCACCTGGCCGTGCTCTCTCTCTTTGTCAGCACAGCCATGTTTGCCTACCTGAAGCCCCCTTCCATCTCCTCCCCATTGCTCAACTTGGTGGTGTCAGTTCTGTACTCAGTGGTGCCTCCAGCAGTGAACCCCCTCATCTACAGCCTGAGGAACCAGGAGCTCAAGGATGGCCTGAGGAAAGTAGTCGAACATATATTATTTCAGCGCTATTGATATCCCCATACACCTTGTAACACCCCCAGGGTATCTCAAGTAACGTCAGAACTAACTTTTGTGGAACTGTAAAATCATTTAGGTTGGAAAAGACCTCTAAAATGATGAGGTTGAACTATTAGCCTAGGACAGCCAGCTCCTTTTTTTTGTTGTTTGTTTTTGTTTTGATAGTTTTGATGATCTTAATTGCAATTAAAATATTTCCCTTCTTATCACTTCTAGGCATTCAACATGATTTTTCTACCTACATGCGCAATGTTCTCTCATGATTTAACCTCAGGAGCTGCTCAGCCCCATCCACCTGCTCCCCCACAGTGCAATGGGAGAGAGAATCAAAAGGGTAAAAGTGGGACAAGTTCTTGGTTGAGACAAAGACAGTTTAATAGCTAAAGGAAAAGCTGCTCATACCAAAAAAGCAAAATAAGGGATCCATTCCCTCTTCCCCTTGGCAGGCAGGTGTTCAGCTATCCCCAGGAGAGCAGAGCTGTCACCCATCATGGTGATTTGGGAAGAGAAATGTCATCACTCTGCATGCCCTTCCCTTTCCTTCTTCTTCCCCCAGCTTTTATTGCTGATCCTGATATCATACAGTCTGGGATATCCCTTTGGTCATCTGGGGTCTGCTGTCTCAGCCATGTCCCCTGTCAGCTTCTGGCCAATCCCCACCCTGCTCACTGATGGGTGCGGTGAGGAGCAGAACAGGCCTTGGCGCTGTGTAAGCTCTGCTCAGCAGTAACAAAACCATCCCAGTGTCCTCAACACTGTTCTCATCACAGCTCCAAACACAGCCCCACACCAGCTACTGTGAAGGAATTTCACTGTGTCCCAGACGGAACCAGCACAGGGACCTAGAGAACCCATCTCCTTGCCTAAATACAGAAAATAATTTGTCTGAGCTCCCAACTGTTGACATCTCTTCTGGAGATGGGAACACAGCCCCAGGATGAGGAAAGGGTTAAGGGATTTGAATCCTCCTCTGCCCCATCAGGCTGCTCCTTCTCTGGAGCCATGGCCATGGACCACAGCAGGATGTGGCCTTTCCAGTGCTGGTCTCCCCTCACGTCCCCCCTGTGCTGCTGGGCCCGTAACTTTGTGCTGCCCCTGAGCTCTGGTGTAATTTGTGCCAGTCCTGTTGTCTCTGCAGTGGCATCCCTGTGTCTGTGGGCAGGAGCAGGGCACGTGTCAGAGCTGATGTCCCTGCTGGCACCACTGTGACTCCTCAAGCCAGGGCTGGATCAAAGGTGATGCTCACTTAGATGCACCTTTATACCCAAGAAGCTGCTCCATTAAAAGGACTTTTGCATTGCTGAGTTCTTGGTGGATCCATGGGGAGAACCTCAGAATCCCAGGGGAAGAAGTTAGAAACCAAGAGGAGGAAATCTTCCCTTCTTGGTGGCACATAGCCATGCAGACAGCAACTTGTCTTTGACTTCTCTGCCCAGCACTGTCCCACCTGCAGTGGGGCTGATGGCAAATGCCATTGCGGAGAAGAACCTGGAGCTGTCAGGTAAGCTCAGGGGATCTGCAGGGACAATGTGTGAGAGATGTGTGTGGGCAGCAAGTGACCCCTGTTAAAATGAGTGATCATCCATGGTGGAATAGCTGTTAATAAAATGAGAACCTGAGGAGGCCATGTGCAAATGAGGGTCCTTCAATGCCAGGAGAGGCTGTGAGGAGACAGAAGGCAAAGAGACACAAGACTACACAATGGTTCAACATCATTCCTCACAGCCCTCAAATTGGTGGCCCACAGGACAGGGACCAAGTAGACAAAGTCCTTCCCACTGTAAGCAAGGACAAGGTTCACGACTGCCTGAGGAACCTGAACATAAATAAGTCCATGGGACCTGATGGGATGCATCCCAGAGTACAGAAGTACTGTCTGATGCAGCTGCTGAGCCGCTCTCCATAATATTTGAGAAGTCATGGCAGTCAGGTGAAGTCCCTAGCAACTGGAAAAAGGGTGACATCGTGACCATCCTTAAAAAGGGTAAAAAAGAAGACCCTGGGGACTACCACCCTTTCAGCCTCACCTCTGTCCCTGGGAAGGTCGTAGAACAGATCCTCCTAGAAGACGTGCTAAGGCACATGTAGGACATGGACTAGGTAGTCAGCATGGGTTTACTAGGAGCAGGTCCTGCTGGACCAACCTAGTGGCCTTCTACAATGAAGTGACTGCATCAGTCAACAAGGGAAGACCTATGGGTGTCATCTGTCTGGACTTCTGCAAGGCCCTTTGACACGGTCACCCACAACATCCTCATCTCTAAGCTGGGGAATTAGGGGTTCAGTGGATGGACTGTGCAGGGGATAAAGAACGGGCTGGATGGTCCCATCCAGAGAGTGATGGTCAATGGCTCGATGGCCAGATGGAGGCTGGTGATGAGTGGTGGCCCTCAGGGTTCTGTGCTGGGACCAGTGTTGTTTAATATCTTCATTAACGACATTGGCAGCAGCACTGAGTGCACCCTCAGCAAGTCTGTGGATGATACCAAGCTGGGAGGTGCAGTTGATATGCGAGAGGGATGGGAGGCCACCCAGAGGCACTCGGACAGGCTGTTCAGGTGAACCTCAG